CAGGGGGGTTGGACGGGATGATCTCCGGAGGTCCCTTCCAACCCCACCAGTCTGGGATTCTGTGATATCCCTGCTGGCTCTAAAGCTAAAATCTTCATTCCTTCAATGCCACTGTGCAGTGACTCCTCCTGACAAAGATCTTCCTGTGTGTGATCTTGGTGAGAATTGAACCTGGGAGGTAGAATCCTCTGAGTGAAGGTTGCTGTCAGCAGCAGGATGGTGCATAATCGTGTGACACCGCGTCCTCTCGGGCTCCTTGCCGCGTGTTTCCTGCACAGGGCTGGCTGTGGTGAGCCCGTGGGGTGGGTGTACTCACTGGGAGAGCAGGGGATGAACACATAGCAGGGACACCAACCCTGTCACAGACTGACCAAGATTCAGAGGAGTTACAATACTGGAGAAGGCTGGTGGCCATCGTGAGCGCTGCCAGGGGAGACAGGCAGCCGTGGTCTGTGGAGGTGACGGGTCGGGAGCAGTGGGAGCTGAGTTCCTGGAGGCAGAGAGCAGCTGTGTGGTGTGGTGGTGGCACAGAGTTATCCTGAAGACTAATCGTTCCCTTCTCTTTGCTTTCCTCCTCTTCCCAGTTCTTCCTTCAATTCCACTTCAAGATGGAGAAGCCCCCGGCTCCCCCAAACCTCCCTCCAGGGCCCCCAACTGTCAAGCGGCCTCCTCCACCTCCTCTGATGAACGGCTTGCCCCCGCGGCCACCCCTGCCAGACTCCATGCCACCACCTCCTCCAGGAGGGATGACTCTGCCTCCTATGCCTCCCTCTGGACCGGTGCCACCACCCCCGGTGCCACCTCAGTTGCCACCAGCACCTGGTGTACCCCCCCCTGCTCCTCTGCCACCCATGATGAGACCCCCACTCCCCACGGAGGGGCCGGGCACTATCCCCCCTCCGCCTCCCTCCAACTGAAGCCCCTCCTGGACTCGGTCCCACTGGACTCCTCTAGCTCATATCTTTTTATATGCAGATCATGACTGATGCAGAGAAATATTTCTGGTTTGTATGTCTGTGAATTTGAGGAAATCCTGTAGCTTCATTAAAACGTTTCCAATTTTCCTTACTCAGCGTTTTCTCATGTCTTGGTTAAAAATGTTTATTCGTGTATTCAACTTTCTATAGCCCTTTAAATAGATAAAACATTCCCAATCTTGGTTACATCCTGGGAATTCTCCAAAGAGGAGAGAAAGGATTGGAAATCTCCAGCACCTCACCTGCTTCTGACTGAATATCCACATCAACCTCAGCTGTGCTGGCTTCACATATTACCCCTCTACAACTGCTTTGTATCCCTGAAATTACCAGCTGGTTAATCAGTTGCTATTCAACTGAAATCCTTTATCCAGCTTTTCATTCCCTGATGGGGAGACTTGTCACAGACACACTGAGCAGATTCTGTTACTGCACCCCCGGTGATCGCAGGGGTGGGTGGAATGGAGGCTGAGAAGACTTTTCTAAATCCAATTTTTTTCCCGTTTTCCTGCTGAATTACAGTCGGGATCAAACAAGTGTTCCTCCCGCCGCATTTGGAAACTGTTTTCCTCCCGGTGCCAGAGCACTGCACCGAATCACAGCATCACAGAATGTCAGGAATTGGAAGGGACCTCGAAAGATCATCCAGTCCA